GGGCCCGGGCTGGGGATTCGAACCTGCCACCTTAGGTATATGTGGCTGGCGCCTTAGCTGCTTGAGCCACAGGCGCCGAGTCGACAAGTTCTTTTTCTAAACCTTCTCCAGCAAGACTGGCCTTTGTAGACCAACGTGGAAGACCCAGAGGAAGGAAGGTCACCTGTCACGATAAAGGATCTGAAATTCATCTGGAGTGAGACTCATGCTTGTTTGCCTTTGGGCTGAAAACCTTACTGAAATTCACAGTGATGTCTCTAAGAAAAGTTTGGGGAGCTTCCAGATACTGTGTCCTTTGTCCCTAACCAACAGAGAAGCAGGTATCAAGGCTCCACCCTCTGCCTAGCTCTGTAAATGCTGCTTTGGGGATAGAGAGGGACACAGCCACCCACATACTGCGTTAAACCACTGCAAGGCCTATTCAAGGCTTCTGAGTGGAGCGTAGCAGCAAACGATCTCCAAAGATGGGCGCAGCTGACCCCTGACGACGGGCATGTCCCACACGCATCCGTATTTGTGGCCGGGCAGCAAAGAGCCGTCTTGTCCAGGCTCTTAGCCTTTGCCTAATCTATCATGAAGTGACTCCCTAGTGAATGCTTAATAAACATTTCTTGACTGGTACCTTCTGCCCTCTAGGGGGCACTATGGGGAGGAGGCAGAGAATGAAATGAGGTCATTTACCTGCAATCAAATCTCGGTCCCCAAACCTGCTAGTTCCATGACCCAAGCTGATTATCTCCGAGCTTCCATTTTCTTGTCTGTGAAATAAAGAAAATAATTAGCCCTGGGTGGTGAGGTCCTGATGTAATGAGTAAATGAAACGTGACACAGTTATTGTTACCTCATTTAGCATACGCCTAGCATTTAGCAAGCCATCCACTAGAAGCTAGCCTTCATAAATAGCAATTTCTGTTACCTCTACTATATATCTCAGATAACAAAGACACGTGGCCTTTCTTGGTCAAACAGTACTTGAGCGCCTTCAGGGCCTTCAATGCTCTTAGCCCGTGGGTTATGGTGGGTTATGGGCTCTTGCTGTCAGCTAAGGGAAAGGCCCAGGCGGTAACCGTAGAATCTGGGGTCTTCCTCTTTGGTCTACATTGCTTAACCCTCACTCTCGACACTCTCTCCATAGCTGGAAAGAGGACAAGTTAGGCAACAACCAAAGATGCAGGGATTAGACCCGAGTCTGTGCTGCTGATAAGACCTGAGCCACCCACTACCAGATTTCATAGGCATTTTATCAACCATTGAGCACAGAGCATTCCTGAATGCACAGCTAAAACCACAGATTCCAGAATTGGTCTGAACTTGTCTGTGGCTTGTTAGCTCAGAGCAGTAATGCTCAAACTCACCCCAGAACCACCGGGAGGGCTTGTTAAAACAGAGTGTTGAGCCTCACTCCCTTCCCCATAGTTTTTGATTCGGTAGATCTAAAGCCAGTCTCCAGAATTGGCATCTCTAGCAGTTAACGGATGTTAGAAGCCACTGGTTCTGGAATCAAACTTTTAGAACCATGAGCCTGGGGCTATAGCATGGAAGACAACCCCCTCCAGCCCTGTCACTGATGTCATTGGCTATAGGAGGCTCTAAAGGATGGGAGATGGAAAGATGGAATGCTTAACTCCATCAGAGAATTCATAGCTCTACTGGGGGAAACACAGCAAAACACCCACCACCTAAATGTTGTTGGTGCAAAGCTACTAATGGGTTGAGTGTTTGTCCAATTGTGTATTCATTTAATATATTCAACCACCTCCTGGTTCCAGTGTTAGTATTTTCATTATTGTGTATTTATTTATCCCAGAACTACAGAGTCCCAGATTTAGAATTCTTCTTCTTGTTATTTTGGGAGCCCAACGCTTGACCGTAACCAGACTCTGGTTAAATACTGTGTGGCAATTGTGTAGCTCAGAAGCAGCATGTTTTCAGCTGGGCTTCCCTTGGGCTTGCTTCTGAATCCCAACTGTACATGACTGAGTCGTCCGTTTCACCCTGTCTCTGTGTGTGCACGGGTAGCTGAAAGGCCATTGTCTGTTTATTATTTTAGTCAGTGAAAGGGGATGGAGGGAGCACCCGCTCAGAAGAAATAAATGGGAAAGACTCCAGCTACCAAGTAAGTGACTTTGAACTCCATCTGGTGGTGGGGCTAGCCGGTGTGTTCTTTCTTCTTTCCGCCTTGTTTTCTATGCCATTCTCAGCCATTCCCAACACATTTAGTATCTCTGGATTAAGCACCTACTATGTGCCAAGCTGTGCAGACTAGAATTCCTCAGCTATTTTCCATAAAAGGTTTTTACACATGCTCTTCCCTGTTTTTATTTTCTTCTTTTGTTTTTTGAGACAGAGTCTCACTTTGTCACCCTCAGTAGAGTGTCGTAGCATCAGAGCTCACAACAACCTCAAACTCCTGAGCTCAAGCAATCATCTAGCCTCAGCCTCCCAAGTAGCTGGGACTACAGGCACCCACCACCATGCCCAGCCAGTTTTCAGAGATGGGGTCTCGCTCTTGTTCAAGCTGGTCTTGAACTCCTGAGCTCAAGGGATCCACCTGCCTCAGCCTCCCAGAGTACTTGGATTACAGGCGTGAGCCACGGTGCCTGGCTAGTCCCTGTTTTGCACATGGAAAATTCCTTCTGCCTCTTCACTTCTTGGCATAAATGTCACCTCCTCAGAGAGACCTTTGGGTGTCCACCCATCATCGCTACATCTTTTTCTTTTCTTACTGCATGGCACTTGTTACAAATTGTAAGAATTCATTTGACTCCCCTCCACCTGGAACATCAGTGGAGCAGGCTTTTCTCTTTTTATATCACATTGCATGAGGCCTGGCACCTAGTAGGAGCTGGGTCTTGAACAGATTAATTAAAAACATGGGGTTGCATCATTCACTTACATTATTTTCTCTCTTGCAAAGAAATGTAGCTATGACTTGTTTATAACAGTGTGTGTTCTGTTTTTAAAGTGGGATTATATGGAACACCCTGTTTTCTAACCTACACTCTTTGTTTTACTTTACTTTATAAATTTTTTTTTTTTTAGTATTGTATTTTATTTCATTCCCCTGAGCAGAGTTTCACTATGTTACCCAGACTGGACTCAAATTACTGGGCTCAAACAATCCTCCTTCCTCGGCCTCTCAAATTCCAGAGATTACCAGTGTGCACCACCATGCCCGGCTTACAAATTGAGAGTATATTCTAAAGGTCTTACCACAAAAATAAGTGAGGTGATGGTTATGTTAAACAGTTTGATTTAAACTGTTTAAACTATTTAAACAGTTTGTTAAATGGGGGTCTAGATAGCTAGACTCCCATCTCTGAAAACTGGCTGGGCATTGTGGTGGGCACCTGTAGACCCGGCTACTTGGGAGGCAGAGGCTAGATGATTGCTTGAGCCCAGGAATTTGAGGTTATTATGAGCTGTGATTTACCCATTCTTTTAACCTTAAACTTACACTTCCACGAAAACAGCATCAAATATTCTTCTGCTCATTTGGGAAATAAAAGGAGCTAACAATAGGAGTGGCAGGCTCAAACTATCAGCGTTCAGATCATGGCTCACCCATTTTTTAGCTGTGTGACTCTGGGAAATTGCCAATTTCTCAGCACCTCAGTTTTCTCATCTGTGTAATGGAGAAAGACAAGTGCCACCTTACAGGTTTGTCAGCTAAACTAAGACATGTGAAACACTGGACATTTCCATACAGAAGGCTCAATAAATGTTAGCTGTTGTATCAGTCAGCACAGCCGCCATAACAAAATGCCAGAGATGGTGGTATAAACAACAGAAATTTGTTTTCCCATAGTTTTGCCAGTTGGAAAAGACAAATCAAGGTGCCAGCAAGGTTTAGTTCCTGGGGAGGATTCTCTTCCTGGCTGTAGACAGCCACCATTGCTGTGTGTCCTCACATGGCAGAGAGAAAGAAATAGAGTCCCTTCTTAAAAGGACACTAATCCTATTAGATCAAGGCCCCACCCTCATGCCTTCACTTAACCTTACTTACCTTCCATTCTAAATATAATCATCTTTTTTTGTTTTTTTTAACCTAATTTTTATTAAATCATAACTGTGTACATTTATGGGGTACAATGTGATGATTTGATATACAATGTGGAATGCTTAAATCAAACTGTTTAACATAACCATCACCTTACTTTTGTGGTAAGACCTCTATAATATACTCGTAGTTGTTTTGAAATGTGCCCTTGCCTTGTGCACATGAGGTGAGATCCCACCAAATGCCCTCCCTCCACTCGCCCTCCCCCCTCCCAGCCCTTTTCCCCCCTCTCCCCTCCTTTCTTGGAGGTTAGGGCTTCAGTGAATTTGGGGTTGGAGAGACACACTTTGGTCCATGAATTTGGGGTTGGAGGGTTACACTTTAGTCCACAGCAGTTTTTATTTGTTATGGTCACTCTTATGCTGCTCATAGGAACTTACCATCTCATAATGTGGCTCATGTCACACATGCAAAGGGACAGCCATGATTGTCACAATACTTTGTATTTCTCTTTCCATAACAATTGGTTTATTGTTTTGTATTTAAACAGAGAATGCATGGCTTTTGACCACATTCAGTTTTTTTTTTAAGTTCTTACTATGCCTGGCCCCCATCTTCTAGATTACTTTGGAACACAAATTCCCACCGGTTACTACCTTGGGAATGTGACCAACTTACTCTATTCAAAAAGAAAACTTAAGTGTGATGGTACATTTTTGTCTGAAATGCTATGGCGAAACAGTTACGCCAACAATTTTGGAGTTTCTAAAATGGGCAAGGCGTCCATGAAAATTTGAGTGAGCTGAAAACTTCATTTTATTTACACTCACCAAGTAGTGCTTTGAGAATCCATTTCAGAATTCTATTTTCCAGGGCCTTGGATCCAGACTTAAGAGCACCAGTATGTCCTCACTGAGAGATGACAGATGCCTAGTTTAAGTTGGGGGTAAGGTAGGCACAGACATTCTCTGTTCCTTCCAGATCTGCCCTCCCAGGATCATAAAAGTCTCCATCAGTGTCTCTGGGAACAGCCAGGTCGGATGAAATGGGATGACTCTGTCCTGCCAGCATTTCTGGGTTCCAGGAGGACCTGTACTCAGGTGTCATTTACTGGTATTATACATTTTGAGACCCAATCAAACTCCAAGCAAAGGTTTTTAATCTTCTGTTTTTAATAACAAAGCAATTGTCACACCATTTAGATTCTTCGTGTACTCTAAAGATAGGAAGATGGCCAAGTGTTATCTTAACAAGTTAGTGTCTAAGCCATTAAAAAGAAAATTTAAGCCTAATTGGGATGTGGTTACCATATGGTAAGTGAACACTGAAAGCTCCTCTATTTAAAAAAAAACATTGTCTCATGACAGCTGTTTGATTGTGGGTACTTCCCGCTTTCCACCCCACAGTGACTTGGGAAGGAAACTATTTTGGAATCATTTGGAAGGTGACCTGCTGGCCGTTCCTTCAACACATTTAGATGGGGACCTGCTCTGTGTCAGTGCTCCCCAAGGTGCTAAGAGACAGAGGTGTGTTCTCTGAAGCTGCCCTTTCACTGCAGGGAGAAGAAATCTCGGAGATGACTGCAGATAGAAACAGTGCTCCATGAGAGAGGAGTCAGGGCATCCTTGGACCATGTGGCCAGGGACAACACCTCCAAGGTTTGAGCTGAGACTTGGTAGAGAAGGAGTGGCAGTTGTCCGAAGCCCTGCTTTGAGAATGAGCTTCTTCAAGGAATGAAGGAAGACTTGTGGCTGGAGCAGAATGAGGACAGAGAGAGGGACAGGGGGCAGGGCTGGGGTGGCACAAGGGGACCCTATGTGTTACATCTACCATTATTTGCTGGGTTCTGTGTCTGCAGCAGCCGGGCAGCCAGACCCCCACAGGCAGCCTTAGAAAGAACAAGGTGGCCAACTCATCCCAGTTTACCTGGAACTTCCCGATTTTTGTTTTGTTTTGTTTTGGGGACAGAGTCTTAGTATATCACCCTTGGCAGAGTGCTATGGCATCATAGCTCACAGCAACCTAAAAGTCTTGGGCTTACGTGATTCTCTTGCCTCAGCCTCCCAAGTAACTGGGACTACAGGTGCCTGCCACAATGCCCAGCTATTTTTTTTGTTATTGTTGTCATTTTTTTAGCAGGTCCTAGCCGGGTTCGAACCCACCAGTCCTGATGCATGTGGCCAACTCCCAAACCACTGAGCTACAGGTGCTGAGCCAACTTTCCTGGTTTTAAAACCATAGGCTCCATGCCCTGGACCCCTGGCTCTCAGACAAAGCAACATGACTGGTCACTCTACTTTTAGCCTTTCCCAAGGCCCAGTCACTGTACCAGATCGGCTTTCCATTCTTAATTAAATCCTCACAACACCACGAGATGTCATTTCCTTTATTACTCCCATACAGACTAGGACATTGAGAAGTCTTTCTTCCAGGTCACATAGCCAGGATGTGATGGAATTAGAATCCAACCAGGTCCCTCTAAGCCAGACACTGAGCTCCTAGCTACTCACTGTATCTTAAAATCTGCGTACACAACAAAAACCGTGAACAAGGCGTTTGATCTGGGGTCTCTGGTTTCTGGCTTTATCTGAAGAGCATCGTGGTGAGAGTTTCGGCCTCCTTCCCAGGGGAGCACCTGCTCTGGGCTGGACTGTGCTTGCACATCTGTGTCTTGTAATGTGCTGCAGCTGCGGCCGCTGGGCTCTGACAGACGTGTCCAAGATGTGCAGTGACAGAACAGCTTCTTGGGCCACAATGCACGTCTGACACTTTTTCCTTCAAGGACCTCTGCCCTCTGGAGAGCACCTGTGGGGACCCTCATCTGTCTGTTCTCTCGCTTCTTTCAAGGGGCGTCTCCGTTTGCTGGTGGGAAATGAGATTTCTCTTTGGCTTGCTGCCTTCTGCATCGAAGCTGCAGCCCTGTCATAGAACTTTTTACCTGAGGACAGGACATAGCTTTATGAATCAGGCTTATACGCATATATCCATGGGTCAGAGGTAGCCCACGAGGGTACTCCTGTTCCAGTTGTTTGCCATGATCACTGTTTTAAAACTTTTGACATCTGGCTCAGTGCCTGTAGCTCAGCAGCTACGGGCACCAGCCACATACACTGGAGCTGGTGGGTTTGAATCCAACCCAGGCCTGCCAAACAACAATAATAACTGCAACCAAAAAAAAAAAAAAAAAATAGCCAGGCATCTGTAGTCCCAGCTACTCGGGAGGCTGAGGCAAGAGAATCTCTTAGGCCCAAGAGTTGGAGATTGCTGTGAGCTGTGATGACACAGCACTCTACTGAGGGTGACAAAACTCTGTCTCAAAAAAAAAAAACAAAAAACTTTTGAAGTCAATATTTAAAAGTTGACATATTTTGCATTTAGAAAATTCAATTCCAAGGATCTTTTGAAAAAATCAGGTCTGACCACATAGGGGCTGCAAATATCTGTGTTGTCTCTCAGCGGGCTCTCAGTTGCTACTGCCCCTTTAGAAAGGGCATGTAACAGTCAGGCCACCACAGCCTCTGTCCCCCGAATTGTCTCCCCTGCATGAAAGTCAGCATTGCTCAAACTAGTATTTTTCTTACACTTGCTAATACTTCTTTGCACCCCTTTTCAGCAGGGGAAATAAGATGTCTGTATTATTCTTACCCCCAGCTTCTTTTTAATTTTTATGTTATCTTTCTGGACCCCATAGGCACTTCAAGTCAATTAAATGATGAGAAAAGGATTTCTACTTCATAATGGATTTATTTATTGATTGATTTGGTTCTCTGTAATTTACCCACCATTTTCTAGAATTTGGGGGTTTACAGCCTCATTGCTGCAGATGGTAAGAACCATGTGGGATTGCAAATCTTTAATTTGGGGATAGATATACATTCAAGACTAAAGATAAAGGCTTGGCGCCTATAGCTCAAGCGGCTAAGGCGCCAGCCACGTACACCTAAGGTGGTGGGTTCGAATCCCCAGCCCGGACCCGCCAAACAACAATGTCGGCTGCAACCAAAAAATAGCCGGGCGTTGTGGCGGGCGCCTGTGGTCCCAGCTACTTGGGAGGCGGAGGCAGGAGACTCACTTGAGCCCAGGAGTTGGAGGTTGCTGTGAGCTGTAATGCCACGGCACTCTACCCAGGGGGACAGCTTGAGGCTCTGTCTCAAAAAAAAAAAAAAAAGACTAAAGATAAAACAGTCATCTTCTCTTACCATGATTTCATGAAACAAGTGGACAGTTTCACACAAAAAACTAAGGAAGACAGAATCGTGAGGTAAACGAGTAGTCCCCAAGGAAAAAAGTGACATGGGTTTGCAAGTGGAAGGAACCCTCTCAAAGCTAGGTGCACGTGTCAAAGGGCTTCAGGAACAGCTGGATCCAGAAGCCACACACACTATCAGCCATGCCTGGTCTCTGTTTTTTTGTTTGTTTGTTTGTTTGTTGTTTTTTCTCTTTCTCTCTCTCTCCCCATCTCTCAGCTCTACTCTTGTCTGCATTAGCTTCCTTTCCAGGCGGATTTCCCCTGGAAATAGTGATGGCTCTGAAAATCCCAGTTTTACATCTGTATAGCTTCAAAGAGGACAGACGCTTTCTCTCTCGATTATTTTAGCAAAGCTCTGAGCTTAGCTCAGAGTCTACCTAGGTTTGCCTCCTTTGAACCAATCACAACAACTCAATCACATGAAGTGCTGTGATTGGCCAGGTCTGAGCCACGTGCTGCGTCCTGGGGCGGAGTTAGTTTGCCCCGACCAGTGGAATGGGAAGGGGAGGAAGGTGGTTCTCCTCCCAAGGAAACCCCAAGTTCTGGGACCAGAAGATGGGGGAAAGAATGCTTGCTGGAAAAGCATAAGATTAATTAATCGACTATTAGATAAATAAGTAAACGTCCCCTACCATGACCTTGAACCATAAGTGTTTATACATTTTTTTCCTTTCTTTTTCTTATTTTTTTTTTCTGTTTCACTCTGTGTTCAGGAAAACGTAGAAACCACCCAACATTAGAACATCTCTATTTTGACATATTTATTTCCCTGCTACTGAGAGTTCTCTTGAAGTCACTAAAAATGCATTTTGTCTGAAATTGCTGTAGACAGCGGACTCCGCAGAGAAGCCAGTCACCCCGCCAGAGCCAGAACCCACCGGAGTCGCGCCGAAGGGCAAAGAGGCCTCCTCCAAGGACAAGAAGTCGGGGGCCGAGGGGAGCAAGCGCAAGAACAGCAAGCCCGAGGCCAGAGAGTCGGCGCAGTGCCCGGGGCCGGCCGCGGGGGACGCCAACTCCAACTCCCTGCCGGACGGAGACAAGCCCCAGAAGAGGCCCGAGAAGCGGCGGCAGTCCCTGGGCGGCTTCTTTAAGGGCCTGGTAGGAGGATTTGGGGGCTGCTGCTTTCTGGTTTCACGGGACAGGGCTGTGGTTCCCACTTCCAAAGGGGATAGACTGGCCAGGGCAGGGCTGGACGTTCAGCAAATACTTCCTGAGGACCTACTGTGTGCCGCACGCTGTGCTAGGCTCAGAAAGCCAGGTAGACAGCCCCGGCCACTCAGGAGCCCACAGCTGGGTGCTGAGTGTGGGAAGAGCCAGAAGAGGAGGCTGAAGGTGAGGCCTGGCCTGGCCTTGGGTGTGAGAGGAGAGTGCGAAGGAGGCTTCTTGGAGTTTATTACGTCTTAGGTGGCACCTTGGCTTAGCCTGCAGAGAGGACGAGGGGAGGGCTATGGCAGCAGGAACAACAGGGGCAAAGGCGGGATGCCCAGAAGCAAGGATTTGGGGTTCAGTCCTGCGGGATTAGAGAAGGCAAGGACAGGGAGGTTGGCAGGAAAAAGATGATGAAGCCCAGAGGGTGCTAAGGAGTTTAAACGAGGGCGGCTTCTCCTGAGCTCCGCCCCGGGCGCTGGGTAAGAGAAATGATGGCTCAGCGCCTATAGCTCAACTGGCTAAGGCGCCAGCCACGTACACCTAAGGTGGTGGGTTCGAATCCCCAGCCCGGACCCGCCAAACAACAATGACGG